GTGTGCAAACAAATATATATATATATATATATATATAAAACAGGCTATGCTAAGTGTTCTTTACCAGATTTCTTTTCGCAATAACAAATACTATTCGAGCCAGGCTTTTAAGTTGGTTATGTAAGGAGTCGAGTAAACAGCGTGTGACATCTAATATAGGCCTATTGTAAGATATTGCAGTTGCTTTAATGTCTGTAAGTAGCCTACCGTCTTCATGCATAATAACTAAATAACTCAAAAGACGGTGATGGCGTAGTCATATGGTAAAGCACGCCTGCATTAGTTTAGAACATGAAAAGCAGAGGAGAAGCCTGGGCAAGATAACGAACCTGTCTAAACTACACATCCTAAACATATCCAGCAATGTCAGTATATGTGCAGGGCCCTGTCTGATGACGAACTGATACAGCAAAGTGAAACAGCTGAGAGTAATTCGTTAAAAATACAGTGTGTGTGAATATATATAAAATCAAACAACCTGAGTCCGTTATTATTTAGCTAAATAGCCTATTATTTATTTTCCGCCTGTTATTTTTGTATTATTATTTATTTATTTATTATTATTTATTTATTTTTTGTGTTTTGTCTTGATTCAAATAGTTTATTTTGGCGCCTTAATTTAAAGTGATCTAACAGTGTTTGTATTTGGTGGCATTAGAAGCACATTTAGCTGAGAACGTTAGTGAGGGGAAATAAAGAGCGTCATAAAACTGTGTCTGCTAAAGCTGCGTTCCTTATAAAATTCAATAGAGCATTAATTTCTGGTTCTGCATTGAAATTCTCTCGTGCACCAATTGTTCCGCTATCAGTGAAATAACTAAAAAAAAAAAAAAAAGTAGGAGGCTAATCGTTCTGTCCACCGCAACCAAATCTTTGACTTAATAAAGGAAATACGAGCTTAATTGGATTGCTACAACGGTTTGGTTGCTTGTAGTTGTAACAATATTGAGATGAGTATTTCTACTGCTAATATTACCGCAGCTGTCTGCCATTGATAATAAAACATTGACTAATTATTTTTATTATTGTAATGTTTTTGAGGTCATATTTATAGTTAAGCTTTAACGGGTATAATTATTTATATAGGCCTAAACGAGAAATTCATTTTCTACTTTATTAAAATTTTCTGATTGATTGTGATTGTATTGATTGTGTTCTATTTATTAAATATTTCCATGTTCTCATAGCTAATAATATTTTCCCCTTTTCAATTACGGGATAAAAACCCATGTTGTTGACTGTTGCAGTGTACAATCGAGTGTGGATTTATGCACGCAAATATTTATGTATTTTCATTTCGCAATGAGCAGACTTTGGGGGTCAATTCATGTGCAAATATCTGTCGCAAAGGTTCACTTTCAGAGAAAAGTGCATTGATTAGATTCGTTTCAAACCCAGGGCTAAATGTAATTGAATTAGCTCAGGTTTAAAGTTTTGGGTCTCGATTTTCAGACTTCCCTCGTGAATGATAAACATAAACCCGTCAGAACACTCTTGGATATTTTTTTTAACATGTTTGGGCTGATATCTCGAGTTATTTATGGCCTTTAAATGTCTCAGCACTACGCACGTGTCTAGGATTATTTCATTAGAGCAGGCTATTTTTGGAACAGCTTGTCTTATAGCCTATATAATTTGTTGCTGGTTTTGCATTTAAAAAATAGATGCAATTATTTATAATAGGCGTTGTAGGCCTATTACATTTTTCATGTACTCTGTTATTTCATTTTTATTTAATTCAAATGAATATTTGAAAAACTAATCTTAATTTAGTTTGTCAAATATTAACATTTTAAATATTTAAATCGTTTCACCGGTTTTTAAGAAATATAGCCTAATCAGCAACAAAAAAAAAATGATTGAGACTATTTTTTTAATTATTTTAGAACTAATTTTAAAAATGTTAAACATGCATTTATAGGCTAATAGAAAAGGTGTGTTCATTTTTGTATGAACTGCATTTTTAAATGTTTTTATAGCCCGTAACTTAGCCTATAGCTCTACGGACAAAAAGAGTAAATTCATATGCCGACTTGTGAATTTACCGACTCTAATATTCATCCATGTTAGCCTACTTATAAATCTACAGTTAAATGTCCCGAGTTCATAATAATTAACCCACAGTTCACTGTACTATGCTGAGATAGAAAAAGCCCCCACTCTCTTTGTTGTCCGCGCATCGTTAACAATCTTTTACACGCTGAATAAAATGGAACGAATTTAGCCCGCTATATACATTTTTATCTACTCTCCCATACCCTGCAGAAAAGCCCAGCTGCTGGCACAAATCCTGAAGCATCTCACTGAACCTGCTTCCACAGATGGCTCTTCGGCTAAATTAACTACAAGAGAAGGATGTGCAGGAATGGTGTTGTGTTTGTGACACATGAGGCTTGCAGGATGTGTTCCAGTGACCTGACATTTATTGTGGCAGAGATCAGCCTCTCGGCAGAGCTGCATCTAGGATCCTAAATGTAGGGCACATGCCACAGCAGAACAAATGTGAACCAGCCACAGTCTGTTTCCAGCCCTCTCTCCATCTGATTGGATATGAAGGGCAGTTAGTCCACTGAAAAGGTGCCTGTATGTTTATATATCACTGTCTCCATATGTCAAGGCAGATCATTTTGAGCACAGTGCCCTCACCTTGTAAGTCATTCCACCCTTTCGATTGAATGTTGGTTATTTCAGAATTAGCAAAAGAGCATTTATGGATAGCTGGGGCTTTCAGATTGATTTTCTTCGACAGTATGAAAATGACTGCTATAAAACTTTTTTATAAAAACAAGTTTTTGTGTGTATTTGACATCTAAAATAATTGTGTCTTATATTGAAACTCCCCGATTTCCCCTTGTTTCTTACAATTCAGCCAAAAAAAAAAAAAAACACTATAAAAACGTTCTACTTTTCATTGTAAGAACTTCCCCTATGGGTCCTCTGTAATGACGGCCATTCCATTCAGAATTCTTATGTTTTTGCAAGAGAGAAGTTGCTAAAATCTTATTTCTTTGCTTAATTATAATGTATTTTAAATGTCTTAATCCACACACACATATTGGCAAATTTGGCTGTTTATTCTTTAGACTTTTGAACATTATTTAGACAATGCAAATATATTTAATCTAAATAAATAATATAATTAATAATATAATTTTGTATCATTTTACATACACAATTCCATGCTACACTCACAAGTGTTTTTTTCCCCTCTCATGC